GCAGGGGGAGGCATTCTTGTTACAGGTATAGCCCCCAACCATCTGGTCATTGTCATTGTCACAATCCATGGTTAAAGCCTCTAGAGATGAGAAGGAGAAGGGAGGGAACGAAACAAAGATTACGTTTTGTCCCAAAGTTTCTGAATAAGAGGTAGATTAAAAAACATTCACTATAGCCTTCTGCGGGGGAACACTGCCAATGTTCTGCTAGCCTAGATCTTTCATTACCTCTTCTTTTCCCAAATGAAAAAGGCTTTTATATCTACTGTTGTAACATGTAATATTCATGTAGGAAATCTAAGCAGAACTATAGTACAGTATAAATTAAGCAATGTTGAGATAAAAATTATCCCAAATTCTACTTATTGAAAATAACAGGCTTGGTGCAGTGGCACATGCCTGTAATCCCAACACTTTGGGAAGCTGAGGTGGGTGGATCACTTGAGGGCAGGAGTTCAAGACCAGCCAGGCCAACATGGTGAAACCCCGTCTCTACTAAAAGTACAAAAGTTAACCAGGTATGGTGGCGTGCACCTGTAGTCCCAGCTACTCGGGTGGCTGAGGCAGGAGAATTACATGAACCCAGGAGGCGGAGGTTGCTGTTAGCAGAGACCATGCCACTGCCCTCCAGCCTGGGTGACAGAGCAAGACCCTGTCAAAAAAAAAAAAAGAAAGAGAAAGAAAGAAAGAAAGAAAGAAAGAAAGAAAGAAAGAAAGAAAGAAAGAAAGAGAGAAAGAAAGAAAGAAAAAAGGGAGGGAGGGAGGGAAAGAAAGAAAGAAAGAAAGAAAGAAAGAAAGAAGAAAGAAAGAAGAAAGAAAGAAAAGAAAAGAAAGAAATCAATCACTGTAAATTTGCAGCAGTAATTCCTATAGGTATTTGTCTTTGTATATACCTGCACACATCCGCACATCCACACATGTACACAGGATACATTTTTCACAAATGAGGCTCTATTTTATATGCTATTTTGCAGATCGTTTGAAACAATGAATTTATCAACTCTAAAATACTTTTGAAAGCTTAACAAATTTCACAGACATATCTTCAGGGATCTCCCAGTAAGAAAACACAAACATGATTGGTTATGAAGAGTAGAGAAATCAGTACTAGAACTACTTATTGATTCAGTAAAATTATAAAAACTCCACATCTCTTTGGACTGTTATCCAAGTCTGAATCCATTCCCTGGTTTCTCTTCAGATCATACAAATCTCACCTTTTACCAAGTCTGAATCCTAGACTTTAGAGAGGAGAAAGCTGAGAAGGGCAAGGACCAACAACGTTGGCCTGGTGCATTACTATTAAATGTAAATGGACTCTAAGTCTTGATTTGCTAAGAACAGTCTGATTTATGCATGCTGTCCTGGGACAGTTACAAATTGCATCACTTTTCTTTCTCAAAAATGTCCCTATTTGGTCAATAAATTGCATATTCACTCTAGTTATATAGCAAAGTCTCAGGTGATTATCAGAACCGGAGGGTGAATGAGGAGTATGTTGCATGCAAGTATTTTGCATGGGGGGGAAGTTTTCTATTTCTCCATGCTATTATAGGAGGAATGGAAATTCACAAATTTTCTGTTGAGTTTCTGACCTACACAAGAGACAATAGACGCTGAAAGTTCATTCTCTATCACTCTCTCTTTCTACAATATTAAAGAAAGTAAAGCACTTATCAGCAATTCTAGGAACATGACAAAGATAATGTTCTTCATGGTGGCTCTCTGAATTCACTCAATGATGAAGAAAAATGAGGGAATAGTCCCCTTTACATCCCTTGAACGAACCAACTTTATTGATATTCCAAGACCTCTGAGAAATAGCAAGACCATGATAGGAGACACCCGGACATTCATCAAGAGGATTCTTCATTTCTCAAGTATGGCAGATATTGTTGCTGAGGTTATTCATAAACATGCCGTCAGAGGGAAGTATGGGATTTACAGACCCCAGCTGGTTAAGGACTACTCATGGCCTTCCTGATTTAATAAGATTTTACTATGGTAACACAAAAAGCACTGTTAAACAGAGCTACATTACTTGAAGAGGGAATGCTTTCAATACAACTAATAGATAAATTCTTCTCTCACTATACACATTACCTCTCTTTGCCTTTTTATGATCTAATTTCTTATCATTCATAATCAGTCCTTGAAATACCTACTCTCTCCTGAGCTTTTCTCAGACCCAACTTCTACTAAACATATCTGCTCCTGTACCTTGGGTCAACTAGTTCAGCGCTGAATTCATCATAGCTTTCTCTTTCTATATTTTCTGTCAGTGCAATGAAGCTACACACATATGGTTAACCAAACTTGAAACACGGAAGCCACCCTTAACTTTTTTTTTTTTTGATGGAGTTTCACTCTTATCACCCAGGCTGGAATGCAAATGGTGTGATCTCGGCCCACTGCAACCTCCTTCTCCTGGGTTCAAGCGATTCTCCTGCCTCAGCCTCCCAAGTAATTGGGATTACAGGCGCGTGCCACCACGCCCGGTTATTTTTGTACTTTTAGTAGAGATGGGATTTCGTCATGTTGGCCAGGCTGGTCTCGAACTCCCAGCCTCAGGTGATTCACCTGCCTTGGGCTTCCAAAGTGCTGGGATTACAGGCGTGAGCTACCATGCCCGGCCCACCCTTAACTTGTTTACCCACCTTGCTCACCACCTGTATTCAAAGTCTTGACAATTTTACCTGTCTTAAAGATCCTTGACTTTTCTTTGAAGATTCTTGATTTTTCCTTCAATTCAACCACCTATGACTTGGTTCAGTGTCACATTTTCTCTCCTGAATTATTGAAATCATGCTAAAACCACTTCCTTGTTTGTGGCTTTATTCTCCTTCAATTCACTCTCCACATAGAGTAATCTTTCTAAAATGCACAAGGATCATTACATTTTCCTGCTTACAATGCTTTGGCGGCTCCACATTGACACCAGGATAAGTTTAAGTTCCAGCACTGAAGTTCATGTTCTTGGACACTCTATGCTGTTTTAAACCTCTGTGCCTTCCACACACACCTTACCTGGTTAACTCCTGGTCATTCTTCAACTCTAACCGTGGAGAACTCTGAAATCCACCTGCATTCTCCAGCTAAAATCAGTCCTTCCTGAACTTTCTAGGCAGCCTTTACTTTCATTACATTTACTTCCAGTCACATATTACTTGTATAAATATCTGCTTAATGTCTATTTTTTCCAGGTGGTTTAAAATTCCTGAGGGCATAAATAATGTCTGATTTGCTCACTATTATGCCTCAAAGTCAGTATGTACGTGGCACAGAGTAATTGCTCAGTGAATAATTGCTGAATGAATGGATGAGGTTACTTTCCCTCTTTGCTGGTGAACTTCTAGTCATCCATTACATTTACCTAAAGTATCATTTCTATCTATAATTAATCTCTGACATTAACCTATTTCCTCCCCTAACTCCACCCCCATAATGGCCCAATTTGTTAGATGCTAGTCCTTTCTGTTCCTTATTGGTGCCATTGTAAAACCCTGTGCATGTTGCTATTATAACTTTTGAATTTGGTTGCAGGTTTTGATTTCCTTGTCTCTTCAACTAGATTATGAGCTTTTGAAGAAAATGCTTTATGTTAAAATTTCCAGTTTATAACACTGTCTCTGGCCTAGAGTAGATGCTTCAGTTCTTCTTTGCCCCAATGGGCACTTATGCCTTGTCCAAAACATCCCCACCAACAGTCAACCAGCCTCTATTCTGGACAGGAAACCACAGTACTTCCTGGAAAATTCTTCCTTCTGTCAAGCCGGAAAATCATCTTCTTAGCGCTTTGAATTTTTTGCTCTCGGTCCTATACCTTGGGGACATAGGATCAGGAGAGATATAGAAAGAAGGTAAGTAGTCAACAAAGCCAAAAGAAGACTGTAGGTTCTAAAAGAGTTAAAGACGAGTCAGATAAGTGAAAACTCCAGCCCAGCAAATATACATTTTTCTCTTTAGATAGCAGCTACAAATTGTGAAAGCCAGTCTCAAAAATGTCTCCCCATTCCTGGGACATAGCATGCCAGGTACTAGTAGTCAAAGCTAATGTTGACTTCTTTGTAGACAATTCAGCAGAAACAGTTTCTTAGGAAAAAAAAAATAGTTGGAGCAGGCTTAGGTAGATTGCCCTAAGATCTGGCTTAAAGTCCTCTCCTTCAAGAGACCTTCTCTAATTGCATCAATTCCCAACTGATAACTGGTTTTCTACATAGTCTTTGAATGCTGATGAGAATAACTTGTGCCCCATTATTTGATGATTAGTCAAATATCATACAGCGCTTTTAAAAAGTTGTTTCTTCTCAATATTGGCTCGGTCACACCATCTAGAATATTCACACACACTGAAAACAAAGATGAATAACCTATAGGGTTTTTTTATTTGTATGGATTTATTCCCCCTTTCACATGGTACCCATTGCAATCACAGTCCTTCTATATATTTGTGGTCAATGGGTGTTCAGTAACCAGAACAGAGCATAGGATCAGTCCTTGAGGAAGTTAGACTCAGGCAGGCCTTCAAATGCTGAGAACAAAACATCTGGTTGTGGTTCTCAAGCCTTTGGTTCTATCAAGATGAATGAGAGGTGGTTAGAATGTCTGTGCACCTGAAAGTATTGGAAGGTGACCCCCAGCTCCCACTTTGAAGGCAAAGAATGGAAAGAGGCACGTGGTGGGCTATCTGGAGCAGCTGCTGTTGCACCTTTAAGGTGTTCTGTAAACACTGGCAGGAGAGGAAGGAGGTTGCATTAGGAAGAAGAAAAAAGAAAGTGATTAAGATACAGCCTGTGACCTTAGGAAGATCCAATCCAGTAAGGGAGACAAGTACTGACATAAATATATGTTAGTATGGAAGGAAAAACCTAGAACTTTTAGAACCATGAAATTAGCATTCCTCCCTGGAGAACAAGGTGAAGAATAATAGAACTACACAGGGCTCAGAGAAGCCCAGACAAATCAACTACAAACAAGCTCATTAGCTGCAGCCATCACCCTGTACACTAAGAAGATCTTCCTAAAAGGTCCTGAGGTCTTCCCAGGTCATCACCCACGTCAGGTGCCTCAAGTTATGCAATAAACACACAGTGACATGAAATACAGAGGACTAACGTGCATTTCTTTGTATCTGCATAGAAGGGAGGCCTGCTGGACGGCGATAGGGACCATGCAGCACGTGGAAAGTGTCTCCCCAAAAGAAGGGTGAGTCCAAATGGGGGGTGGAAAGCAGCCTCCTGCAGACTGTGGAAGCCCAAGCAGATTGCAAAGCGCACTCTGTGGAGCAAGACATCCCTTGTGTGGTGTGTCAGAAATTGGACTGAGGTGAGGAGAGTTTCAACATGGGTGGTCTCCCTGGCACAGGAAGTCAGAACGTGAATGGAGAGAGGAGGCCATTTACAAGGGAGAGACAGTGGCAGCTGCAGCATACACATAGTCACATGGAAAGGGATTAATCAAATATATAAATCTATAAGGATAACACAACCACATTTCTCAGTATTGGATAAGGGAGTTGCAAATATGGAGAGAGAGAACACCAGAACACAAGAATAAACCTTATAATACTGGATTGGAATTAGTGTGAACTCATCACTTCTCAATATGTCTAAAGAGCAATTAAAGATACCTGTAAAGATATATGTACTGTGAGTATACACGTGTATGTATAGCTCTGTCCACTGTGATGCCTAAGGGTAGTTCACCCCAAAAGCACCCCAAAAGATCTAGGGTCCATATTCTGTTTTCTAAATACCACTGTCTGCTAGAAGGAACCAGGACTTTTTGGACAAATAGTAGAAACCAAGCCAGGCAGGAAAAGCCTAGAACCCCCTGTGCCATAAAGTAAGGAAATGTTCAAGGAATGATGGGGACCCTGACAGGAAGGAGAATTTAGGAAGTAACAACCCTCTATTTCCATATCTCCTTTGGACAATGCATCATCATCATTGAAAGATTATTATTCATAAATAAAGCCTTTGAAATAAAAATTATTTTTATCAGTTGCATCCAGCCTTACATACTGAGACTACAACCTGATTTTTGTAGATTTACAGATATAAATATACCAATGCCAACCGTAGCACATTAGAAACACAATTTTTAAGTGCTTAGGCCTACCTAAAAGGTAGGTTTTTACTATTTTCCATTCCATCCATCTATTTATTGACCAATTAAGCAAACATGTATTAAGCACCTGTACTCTGTAAAGTATTTTGATAGGGGCCGTGAAGCATATAAGGTTCTGGCACAGCAGCCTAGTGAAGTCTACCCTTCTTGGCTTACAGTGTTTCAGAGCTGGGTAGACAGAGAAAATTATTTCAGTCTCTCCCCACATCCGAATTTCAAGGATGAGGAAATGAGAGAGTCGGTAGATGAAATGATTTAGACACCTAAAAACCAATTACTTTCACCTTCCTAAAGCACTCCCTGTAAAACTTTCCAAATTAGATTTTATCTGTAAACATGTCAAACATGTCTTATTTTTTATTTATTTATTTTTATTTTTTTGAGATAGAGTCTTGCTCTGTCACCCAGGCTGGAGTGCAGTGGTGCAATCGTGGCTTACTGCAACCTCCGCCTCCCGAGTTCAAGTGATTCTCCTGCCTCAGCCTCCCAAGTAGCTGGGACGTCAGGCGCACGCCACCACACCTGGCTAATTTTTTTGTATTTTTAGTAGAGATGAGGTTTCACCATATTGGCCAGGCTGGTCTGAAATTCCTGACCTTGTAATCTGCCCACCTCTGCCTCCCAAAGTGCTAGGATTACAGGTGTGAGCCACTGCACCCAGCCCATGTCAAACATGTCTTGTAGCTACTGTAATCCCTTAAGCACTTTGAGAATGAGAACATTATTCACAAAAGCTTTTTGAACAAATTAAAATGGCCCATGTGCCCATGAGAGTTGGTTTTATTCATTGCTCTATTCCTGGTCTTCAAACAGTGCCTGACATATAGTTCTGTGTTCCATAAATACCTAGTAGATCATATTTTTTGATATCTTAAGTGTGTATATGGAGGCTGTTGGAGGCGTTTCACCAGTAAGGGGCAGTGAGAGTTGCTAAGCCTTTACTTTGGTGTTTCAAATGCCTTCTTGCTTTGTGTATTCCCCTGCGGAATCCCTTTGTGTATCTATGCTCCCAGTGCTGTATCTGGAGGACTGTGGGCAGATGGCTGAGAAGAAGGCCATGTGCCTCTTTCACCACCAGGAGGAGCTGTGACTTTAGGGACATTCCTGAGTCAAGTGGAGGGAGGAGAAGAGAGGCAGGAGGGAGGAAAGGACTAAGGAAGAATCAAATGCTCTGGCATCAGGGTTTGCTCCTTGTGCTAGTTGAGAGACCATGTGTGGACAACACAAAGACACTGAAGTCCATTCCACCTGGACCTGCGTAGCCTCGTCTCTGCAGTCCCTCTGCACATGCCATTAGGGCCTTCTGTTAGTCAAGTCTGTGTTCAGGTCTGTCATCCTAAGTAGGTGAGATGCTCCCCGGGGGTAGGGGTTGCAGATTATTCCTCTCGCGCCCCCTCAGCACCCACTGAAGGGTGCTCCCTCCCTAGTTGGTATTACATTACTGGGTCTTAAAATGATGCACAGCTGGCTCCAGGGAAGGGCTCAGCTGAGCCAGGTGAGGAGGCCTCCTGGAGTTCACCGAGGTGAGGGAGTGGAGCTGGAATGCGCTCGCCTGGGTCCAAGACAGGCATCAGGAAGGCATCTGCCCAAAGGGAAGGGGTCTGAGTGTCAGGGAGGAGGGGAGCCACAAGTAGAAAGAGGAAGGGGAGACCCAGTCATTCATTGTGGGGAGGGCAGGCAGTTGCTAAGAAAAATGCGACTGTCTGAGGAAACTGCCATGCACACCTGGCCCTGAGAAGCTAGTCTAAACCCACCTCTTGAGGTGCAGGCACAAAGGTGGAAGGGAAAGAGGAAGTGTGAGCTGTAGACACTAACAGTAACACTAACAGGAGCAGAGACTTCCCAAGCAGCCCCTGTCTCAGGGCCAGGGAAGCACACCCATAAGACCAGAATGCCAAGCAGGGAGACTCAGGGTCCCCACGCCTCTGCCCGTGTGACCCTGCCATGGGCTGCAGCCTCCACTGTGGTGTGGTCCATTGTCTCAGGTGAGTCCTGGGCACAGGTGGGACATTTCTGTCCTTGGATTTTTTTGCTTTTTTCATGGAACTGCCTCGGAATACTCTGTCCTAGGCTTCGTCTGAATTTGGCTTCTTATTTTCACAGGCTCCATGGATACTGAAATTACGCAGACACCAAAATACCTGGTCACAGGAATGAGGAGTAAAAGGATGATGAAACGTGAGCATCTGGGACATGATTCTTTGTATTGGCTCAGACAGAAAGCTAAGAAATCCCTGGTGTTCATGTTTTACTACAACTGTAAGGAACTCACTGAGAACAAGACTGTGCCAAGTCACTTCACACCTGAATGCCCTGACAGCTCTCGCTTATACCTTCATGTGTTCGCGCTGCAGCCAGAAGACTCAGCTCTGTGTCTCTGTACCAGTAGCCAAGATACAGCCCTGCACAGTCACCGCCTCCCTGTGCACAAACCTCCTCCTAAGTCTAGTCAGAGATCCATGGGGGCAACGCGTTCAGCTGAGCCTCAACACTCGGTTCAGCATTCCGTAGGACCTCGGCAGAAATCTCAGACCATAATACTGTCATTTATTGGATGTGACAACGCTAAATTGCCCAGACACCTGCAGCCTGGGGCATGACTTTGTCTTGAACGAGACTATGCCTGAGTTTGAATGTAGGACAGAAGCTGTCACATTTAAGTTGTTCCAAGTATCTTCCAGTTGGCTTGTGCCTCTGGAAAATGTTGTGTGAAGTATTTAACACTCTGGCCACACTAATCCACCTTCCAAAATGAACCGTTTTTTGACTTTTCTTTTGACTCAAGTTAGACCCTGGATCTCAGCCCTCATCCCAGATCCAAATATGGTCAGACCTTTTCTTTTCTTTCTTTCTTTCTTTTTTTTTTTTTAGATGGAGTCTCACTCTGTTGCCAGGCTGGAATAGTGCAGTGGCGTGATCTCGGCTCACTGCCACCTCCACCTCCCAGGTTCAAGTGATTCTCCTGCCTCAGCCTCCTGGGTAGCTGGAACTACAGGCGCTACCACCACAACCAGCTATTTTTAGTAGAGACGTGGTTTTATCATGTTGGCCAGGATGCTCTCAAACTCTTAACTTCTTGATTTGCCCCCCTCGGACCCCCAAAGTGCTGGGATTACAGGCATGAAACACCACACCCGGCAGGTCCTTTTCTTTTTTTTTTAAATAAAGAATACCCAATGCCCTCCTCAGGTGGCTGTATCAGTGCCTGACCCTGAGGACAGTGGTTCCCCATGGGGTTTGCATCATTGTTCTCTAGTTCACTCTCCCTGGGGCATGTGCAGAGTTTCAACTTCTTGTTGGCTTCTCTCTTCCACTCAGGATTTAAAACTTTCAAACTTGATTGTTTTTCCTTCTGTCTCTTTAATCCTAATACCAAGTTTTCTCGGCATCCATTATCAACCATGGATTCTGTTGCACCTGAATTGTTGCTCACAGCAGGTAATAAGAGAAGGCGACCTCCTGGAATTTCTGAGCCGGACTTTGTACTCAGGGTTACCTTGCTGAGCCCCACATTTTCCAGCACTGCTCTTAATAATTAACGGCCCTCAGTCCTGCACACACCATCAGACCCCTGAGCAGAGCCCTGCACTGTCAGGTTTCCGCACCAACACAAAGGATCCCTCCTCTCTCCTATAGAGGGCGCTCCAGGGACGGTGGGTGTTGCCCCAGACACCAGCAATTCTGCCAGACCTTGCCTGTGGGGCCGTGGGAGCTCAAAATGCCACTCCTTTCCTCCACAGGACCAGATGCCCGAGCTAGGAGAGCCCTCATTCCTGCTGTGATCCTGCCATGGATACCCGCCTCCTATGCTGGGCAATTTTTAGTCTCTTGAAAGCAGGTCGATGCTTAGGACTCTAGGAGATTCTTGTTTTGAACTTACCTAAGACAATTCTAAACCTTTCTCTTAATCTTCTTTTCCCACAGGACACACAGAACCTGAAGTCACCCAGACTCCCAGCCATCAGGTCACACAGATGGGACAGGAAGTGATCTTGTGGTGTGTCCCCATCCCTAATCACTTAAACTTCTATTGGTACAGACAAATCTTGGGGCAGAAAGTCGAGTTTCTGGTTATCTTTTTTGATAATAACATCTCAGAGAAGTCTGAAATATTTGATGATCGATTCTCAGTCGGAAGGCCTGATGGATCAAATTTCACTCTGAAGATCAAGTCCACAAAGCTGGAGGACTCAGCCATGTACTTCTGTGCCAGCAGTGAAGCCACAGCCTTGCAAAGACACCTCCAGCCTGTTCAAAAACCCTCATAGATCTGCCTCCCTCCCAGCCGCCAGCACCCACTTCCTGCCTAAGAAAAGGAAGTCTCTGGTTGGGTTCGTTCTTGCAAATGTCTCCAAAAAGACAGATATCTGAAATGAAATTCCCAAAGATATCTTGGGCAGAAATGACGACATACTGGAGGGTTTGAAGAATGTTTATAGATACCACAGAGTGTGATGGTGGGCTCTGAATATGGGAGAATTGTACCCAACCAAGTAACCTGTATCTTTTCTTTATTCTCATTTTGTCATTTTTATTAGATTTTTTTGGATTTAGTTGCTTAGGAAAACATATTTTAACTCCTAGGATGGTGAAATGATTACTGAGTGGGAGTTCAGGTATTTCCATGAGAATATAGAGGATCCCCACGGAAATCTTCAGAAGGAAAAGGGGCTTGGTACAAGGAACTCAATTATCAATGAGTCTTGCTCAGCATGTGGTCAAGAGCAGAACAATCTGATGACCCTGTCAACCTGGTGTGATGCATTTGGGCTAATGATGCTAGCTCACAAAATAACAAGTTAAGAGAGTAGAAAACATGGAGTCTAATATTAGGACACCATTTTACACCATTTCAAGGTCAACAGAGGTCTAGACCAGCATGAGAATCGCCAGAATAAAGCCAGGCAGTGCAGGAACAGAATTCAGCAACAAAAGTCAAGAGGCACCTAGAGGCAGAGGTAGGAATGAATTTGTCACTTTCAACTTAACATGAGGCAGCCAGATTAACTTTTTGAGTTTCATTTAAGAAACTATGCCTCTTTTAAACATACCTATTGAAATCTAAATTCTAGGTATTCGTGTTTTTGGGTTCTGGAATTTCCACTTAAATCTTCCTACAATTTGCAACTGTCTGCTAAAATTCCACATTTTGTCGTTTACTTCATTGACTATATTAACATCTGTCATTTGAAAGCCAGTTTTGGACACCTTTAACATCTGAATCTGTTTGGGTCTGTTTCTTTTTTCTGTTTTCTCTGTTTGGTTTCTGGGCATGTGATTTTGTTTTCTCATACAACTAGTGATTTATTTGAATGCTGGATATTGTATATAAAAACTATAGAGATAATCTGAGACTCTGAATGATTTCATCTTCCCCAGATGATTCACTTTTGCTTCTGCTGGGAATTGTAGCAGGGGCAGATCACCTTAATTGAGCTGATGACTGAGCTGGATCAGAGCTGGGATTTGGCCTGTGTGATGGCTGCTCGCCTTTGGTCTTAGCCATTTAAGTTCCAACTAGATGTCTGGAGTGTAACAGCTTAATTAAGGTGTAAATTACATAACATAATATTTGCCCATTGCAAGTATGCAATTCAATGAATTTTGATAAATTTGTGGAGTTGTGCAACAATCACCATGATCCAGCTGTAAAACATTTCATCCTCCCCACCCAGAAAGTTCCTTCGTGCTCATTTTCAGTCAATCCCTGCTCCTGCCCCCAGCACCAAGGCCTGGGGCCTTTGCCAGGCTCCTCTCCTATTCAGTAGTCACTGAACGTAAATGTTCTCCAGACCAGAAACGTGGTGGATGCTCCTCAAAGCCCGCTATACTCTCAGTCTTCCCTTTTTTTCTCAGCTACTTAGGCAGCGATACAAAACTGGCAAATGACTTAGAGGGAAAAGTGGTCTGTTAGATCTCTCCTTTCTCCTTGAGATCCCAGTCCGTTAGGTTCTTACTGCCTCAGTAGCTCCAAATGCCTTCAAACATTTATCTTTATATTTTGTTAAGTTTATGTAGTTGTTTTTGATAAGAATGTTGTTCTGCAAAAATTCAGTCTATTAACTCCAAAAGCCAGTTTTTATATTTATTAAAGGTGAGGTAAAATTTTGTATGTTTGTATTTTAAATAGAAGCCTCTTGAAGAAAGGAAGGAGTGAGCCTCTCCGCCTTCCCATTTTTTTTTTTTTTTTCTTTTTGAGATAGAGTCTCGCTCATGTCACCCAGGCTGGAGTGCATTGGGGCGATCTCGGCACACTGCAACCTCCACCTCCCGGTTTCCAGTGATTCTCCTGCCTCAGCCTCTGGAGTAGCTGGGATTACAGGTGCATGCCACCACAACCGGCTAATTTTTGTATTTTGAGTAGAGACGGGGTTTCACCACATTGGCCAGGATGGTCTCAGCCTCTCAACCTCGTGATCCACCCACCTCGGCCTCCCAAAGTGTTGGGATTACAGGCATGAGCCACCGTGCCTGGCTGCATATCCCTATTTCTAAGACCTCTACCACCCTGCTGCCTTTGGTCCACCATGGGACAGAGTCTTGACACGTTTGACCTTTTACCACAAGGAGGAGCTGTGACTCTACTGAGATTAAGGAAACTCAGAGGAAGGACAGAGCATTCTCTGCATGGGAGACAGTTAAAAGAAATATCGGGTGTATTTGCAACAGGGGAAAATGTGGTCTGCAGAAGCTGTGTTAATGCTGAAATGTGAGAGGTTAAATACAGACTGTTCATTTGCCTTGCTGTGCAGGTGCTTTTGTTCTAGCAAAGAGCCTAGACTGCCAGATTTGTTGCATGTGACCTTGCATGGGATGAGGAAGGGGGAGAGTTTGAGGCGGGAAAGAGGAGAGTTCACAGGCAGATGACAGTGGAGGACCCGCTCCTGAGAGGAATAAGAGAACCTCTGGATGCTGGGCCTCTGCTCCAGCTCAATCCTGCCAGGAAATGACTTCCTGAGACCTGGGCAGTGAGCCTGACAAATGAGGGCTTCCTCGAGGGATATTGCAAAGAGAGTAATTACCAAGGGAAATCTACTTATCAGACCAAAGAATACCTGCAGCACCATTCCCCTGACTGTAAATGATGAAAGACTTAAGCTAGAAGGGGATTTTCTTTTCTTTTTCCTCTTCTGGATGTTCCTCTAAGTTCTTGGAGCAAGAGCTTGGAAGGATAGGAAACCTGTCTCCTGGGTCTGAGCAAATGGTTCATCAAAACAGCATCACCAGACTCCCTTCCAGCTTCCAGCTTCAACATCTATCCCTGTCTCCCAAGACCCATGGAAGTTGGACTTGGCCAGATGTCAAAAGATGATGCCAAAACAGCTGCAGATGGGAAAGAAGGCGGCGTGGACAGACCTCCAGGATGCACATCTGAAACAGGCTCTTCATTTTGTTTTCACTACAGGCTCCTGTTTCGCCTTTTCAAAAAGCAGTTGAAATTTCCCTTACTTCTTGGAAATCCAAAAATACAGCAAAGATACATTTTATATAGGCGTTAGCTATTCAGCAGGAGGGAGCTTGAAAATATCTCTATACTCTACGATTTTCCACCATGCTGCCTGGAAGTGAAAGTCTAGCCAAACAGTTTAACAGGAAAACCATTAGCCGTCCTGTGGAGGTTAATTTTGCAGTTTATTTTGGAATGGAAAAAAAGCACGTATTAAGATAGGAAACTCATGTCTACATGCTAGAATCTAAATTTCTTAACTTTCTGTAGTATGAGCCATTTTCAAATCTGGTAAAGTCATAAAACCAGACTATTCAAAACGCACACTTCTAAGCTCA